TTTTCTCTCCATAAAAAAAAAAAAAAGATTTTTTATAAAAAAATTTAATTTACAGGTTTGCCATGATTGTAGCCATAATAAGACAAATACCATTTAACGAATTTCTTCAACCCGGTCTGCAAATCGGTCGTCGGTTTATACCCGAGCTGACTCCGAGCCGAACTAATATTCGCATGAGTAAACGGAACGTCGCCGTTTCCAGGCATCTCCACCACTTTCTTCTTCGCCTTCACCTTCAAATGCTTCTCCAATATACTCACCAATGTCGGCACCGTCACCGGCGACGTATTACCCAAGTTAAATATTCTGTACGGCGCCGCCCCTTTTTTCTTCCCACCCGAACCGGTGCTTTTCCCCGATGTATCCAACGAACCCAAACACCCCTTCACAATATCATCAATGTACGTAAAATCCCTCGCCAAATCAACCCGGTTCTTCCCCCGATAAACCGTAATCGGTTTTCCTTGCAATATATTCCTCGTAAATGAGAAGTACGCCATGTCGGGCCGTCCCCATGGACCGTAAACCGTGAAGAATCTCAACCCGGTTATTGACAAACCGTAGATATGATTATACGTATGAGTAATTTCCTCCCCGGCTTTTTTTGTTGCTGCGTAGAGACTAGCGGGTTGGTCGGTCCGGTCCGATTCAGAAAACGGGACTTTCTCGTTAAGCCCATAAACCGAACTCGATGAAGCCCAAACCACAGCCGGTTGTGGGTTCGCCGATTTACAAACCTCGAGGAGATTAACCAAACCGGCGATGTTACTCCGAACATACGAATTGGGATTCTCCATCGCGTAACGGACTCCGGCTTGAGCCGCGAGGTGCATAACGTGAGTGAAAACGACGACGTCGAAGAGCTTTTGAAGTAATACGACGTCGTTTAAATCGCCTTCCACAACGAAAATTCCATGGTTGGAGAGGAGAGATTTCCGGGCTTTTTTCAACGACGGGTCGTAATAGGAATTGAAATTGTCGAGACCGACAACGCCGTCGCCGCGTTTTTTCAAGGCGAGGGAGACATGGGTACCGACGAAACCGGCGGCGCCGGTGACAAGGACAGAAAGGGAAGATGGAGGATGAGGAAGGGCGGAGTTACGGAGTTGTTTTTCCCATTGGATTCCGCCCCAAGAGGCGGTTAAGTAGCGGCTGCCGGAGTCGACGAATGACTGGAAACTTAAATAGGAGGCGGTTAAAGCGATTAAGAAGAGGGCCCAGAGGAAGAGGGTGCTTGTGGAGGAGAAGCAGCGGTGGAAATGGCGGTTCATCGGGTGGTGGTTGCGGTGGTCGATCTTGAATTTGCCGGGGGTGGAAGGGAAAGGGTCGTCTTCTAAGGAGGGCATTTTGGGAATTTGGTTGTGTTTTTGTTTTTTCTGGTTGTGGAGAGAGAGATAGGGGGATGATATATAGGATGGGTTTTAACGTGAAGGCGCGTAAAACAAAACTGCCAGCTCGGATGGAATTTTTTTTAAATAATTAAAAATTAATAATAATTAAATAAATTTGAGTTTCTTCCCTTTTTAGAGACCAAAATTTTGTTCCGGAAGGGATGGAATTCAACAGATTATGACCTTTTTTTTTTTTAATTTTTTAAATATTATTTTCGAATAAAAAAAGCAATTTTTCGTTTTTATTTACTTATTTAATTTTATGCTTATTTTTAAAAGCTAAAATTTAAAAAATAAAACAATTATGACGTAGTTTTGATGTAATTCAAAATGTTACCAATAAATATATATATATATATATTAGATTCATATTGATATATGTTGGATGATAAAAGTCCCACGTCGGCTAATTTAGGGAATGATCATGGGTTTATAATCAAAGAATACTATCTCCATTGGAATGAGGCCTCGTGGAGAAGCACAAAGCAAAGTCATAGGCAATATCATACCATTGTGGAGAGTCGTGTTCGTCTAACAATATAGATTTAGGTTTCGTTATAGTTCGTGGTAAAAGAATTCGGGTGGATTTTAATGTTTTTTTTTTCTTCAAATTAAGAAATTTGAGGAAGAGAGAAAAATTATGGAAAGTAATTTAAAATAGATTGGGAGTCGATTCCCATTCCAAAATGATCGAGATTTTTTTAATCATGTGAGGCTTGCAAGTTTAGACTCTCATTAATTGATCATAACGACCTACTTTCAAAATTTGGAATTTAAATTTGATACTTATACCGAAAAATAAGGTGCACTTTGTTGGTATAGGTAGCAACTTTCGATTCTTTTAAGTCTTTCGTAGTCATCTATTTTCGTAATTGCTCTCATTCGGACGTAATCTCAGTTCATTCATGCACCCTTCACTCCGACATTACATTGATCATGATTCTAACTACATAAACCTACCTAATATATATATACATGGTTCTCGCTTCTCCTTATTCCTGTTCCTAACTCTTCCCCGAATAGTTCCCAATGTTTGGCACTTTTCATACTTCGTGGGTGCAACATCAACAAATTTGCTCATTCTCAAGTTACAGCCTAAGATCTATGACCATATTATGTTAACTGTTCGTATTTCGTTCATTCTATCGGTATTCTCCTAGGTACCTGTAATTGTGATATGTTTGCTAGAACTCAGGGGTCTTTCTGTGGAAACATTCACGAACAATTGTCGTTTTTTTAATGGTTTTTCCGCTTTTTACAGCAGCTCTTTCCACACCTCTAGATATCTGGTGCCAAATCGTCGCCCGTTTCCTTATTTCTTTAATAATAATATATAGAATATCTAATATCTAGTATATTGTAAATTTTGTCTTTTTAGATTTTAACGGTTGTATTTTTGTTTATTTTTTAATTTTTAAGGAAAAAATTGTGTTTTATGAATTTTTACACGTTTATAAATATTTTTTTAATTTAATATTTGGGTCGTCGAAAATATTTGAACTTTCAACTCGTTTTTGTAAAAGTAAGTGTTTTAATCAATTTAGTTATACGGACTCATAATAATTAAAAAAATAAAAAAATATAAATTATTTTATTTTTAAAATGTACCGTTGTAAATAACTAGACGTTGGTTGATTGAATTAGAGTAGAAATGTTTGAATTAAAGTAGAGATGTTTAAAGTAATTAAGGTATGCTTATGATAATAAAAAATTGAATCATTGACTTTTAAAATAATAATTTATTTAAAATATAAATAATTATGTTACATTTTAATTTAATATATTTTATATTCAATTACAATTAATATGACGTCAGTCACATGGAATTTTGTCCATTTTGGAAAAGGCTGGTTGAAGGGGTAAATTTGTAAATATGTAAATTAAAAAAAAATATATTTTATTTTATTTTTGGGAAATTCGGGGATGGGCATTTAAAGTAGTGCTTGAAAAGGACACTAACATGGGCGCCGTTCCCATTGGCTGTTTTATTCCAAAAGAAAATTAATTAATTAAAAAAGAAAAGGGATATTACCGGTAACCGGAAGAGGCGGGCGCAAGTGAAGGAGAAGTCAGAAGAGTTGACCGGATGGGACTAAATTTGGAACAGCCTAGTACTTACCGGCGTAGCCGGTGGAATTGGTGATTTATTTATTTTTAATTTTTTTTCTCCCTGTATTTTCTTTTTTTTAATGCTATTTTTAAAATTCAATTGTTTTAAAAATTCTAAAAATTTAAAAATTACAAAAAAAAAAAAAAAAAAAAAAAAAAA